GACAGAAAATGTTTACTGACACACAGAGTGCAAGTTTCTCCTTGACAGAAAAGGTGACAGCAGATGCCAGAAGAAGCACAGTGACCCACTGTTTCTCATGATGATTCGCTGAGAAGCGGCAGCACACAAAAGCCAAGCTTATAGGCCAGACTGTCTGCCAACAGGAATGGGTCACCACAGCAAAAGCCACTTTGGATAGGCATTGTGGAGAATTCACAAACAGGTATTTTGAAAGTGCTTCTCATTTTGGAGCTATATGATATGATGAGGATTCATTTTTTTCTATCTTTTAAAAATTTTTGCTTGGAAAAACTTTTACTCTTCCCCTCTCCCTCCCTCTTCTCCCCCCCTCTTTTTCTGTGTGGGGTATGTGTACCCTTGCTAGGCATGTATTTCGGTATGCATGTGGAAGCCCAAGGATAACTTGTGAGTACCACTTCTCTCTTTCTACCTTGTGGTGTCTAGGGATTGAACTCAAGTTCCCAGATGTGGCAGCAATGCTTTTACTGGCAAAACCAGTCACCCGCACCCCCCCTCCCGGCTCTTTTGAGATGGAGTCTAATACCTGGAATATGCTATGCATCCAATAATTACTTTGGACTCTTAATCTTCCTGTCTCGGCCTCCTGAGTGCTGGGATCATATGTGTGCACCAGGAGCCCATTTGTGTGATCTTGAAACTCTAATCTGGGACTTCCTGCATGGGAGGAAAGCAGCGCATGAGCTGACCTGCAAACCCAAGCCCTTAGTAAGAAACTTTGAAAACGTGTATTTTTCATTTATGGGGCATATGGACTGACTCATAAATATTTTTGGAAGTGTAGGGCTTCTAGGTATCAGAGTTCAGGACCTGGTATTCCCATATCTAGCATGTCAACATGCCAATGTGCCCTGCATTTTGGGTAATCCCTCTGCCAGTGAGCCCTACCTACTGCTGCTGCACTGGTTACTGTAAGCTGAAGAGAACAGAGAGCTCCGAAGAAGCGAAATGTTCTCTCACGTTTGTCCCCTGAAACATGGTTCTATAGCAATTCTCTGACCTACCTCCCCTAAGTGAAATTCCAAAGACCCCCTCATCTTAAGTATTCTGCCTTATACCTGCAGAATAATAGAAATCAGAGTGTGCTGGCTTTGCTTGCTAAACTCGCCTCGCCGGCCGCCTTCTGTTTCTGTAGTCCTATTTCCTCATGCTGCTCCACTCTTTCGGAACCCTGTTCATAAAAACACGACTGGTTTTTGCTTTTCAGGTTTCATTTTTGAAGGATCCATGCCACAGAGACTGTTGGGAAAATAACATGGTCATGCTTTTCTCTTGTGTATCTTTACTAAAGGCTTGAACTGTGGACTAGGTGGGAAAAATTTATAACCACATCATTTACAGACTCTGGGCCCAACAGAAGGTGGCTGAGGTTATTACACCTACTCAGGAGACTGCAGAAACATTGGGCATAGACTGATGAAAGTCATCTAAAGAGTAATAATTTTTTAAATCCATGCCCAGAAGGTCTTAGTGTTTTGCCTGTAGAGAAGAAGATCCAGTTTCTCTTGTCTCTTGCTTCTCAAATTCAGATGAGCAGTAGAAAAGCATTGGAATGAGTTTCTCTTGTCACTCTGTCCTTCGTTATGGGATGTCAGGTGAAAAACTTGTACTTAGTGAGGGAAAATTGTTTCTTTCCCCTTCATAGATGCCCAAGCACACACATCAAGTTTAGCATCTAGTTCCTCTTATAAACCAGGTCCAATATCTCCTTTGCTGACTATTTAGGATATTTTGCAAAGGCTTAAACAAGGTGAGGTAGGAGAAAAATCCATAGGGACAGGAGAATGAAAAAAGTGGGACTCAAGAAACCAAACATCCAGGAGTGTGTATACACGTAAGCCTGTGTTTGTCTTGTCTGTATGTATGATAGGGCTCTCTCCTCTCCCCTCCCTCTTCCTCCCATTCTTTTGTGTCTCAGAATAGAAAAGAGACGGGGATTTTCAGAGTCTCTGTGGATTGATCCATCATATTCTGACAGCTGGATTCCCAGAAACAGAGAATTAGACTTTTGGAGTGGACTCATTTTCAGTTGAATCTTATAAAGTGCTTACTTGAAGCTGGCCCGTAGTGGGTCCTCCAGCAATATTAGTCACTGGTGTTGATGTCAATTGTTCCCCTTCAGACACCAATCAAGCACTGGCGATATAGGGCAGAGGGTGAAGGCACTTGCCCTGCAAGCCTGATGACCTAAGTTTGATTCTGGGAAGCTATGGTAGGAGCAGAGATCAGACTCCCAGTGTTTGTCTTCTGGCCTTCAGACACACATGAGTTCGCACACACACACACTAAAAAAAAAAAAAAAACATATAAATAACAAAGAAACCAAATGTTTGTGGCTGGGTCTAGTCAGTGGTAGAGAACTTGCCTAGGATGTGAGTCTCTGGGTTTCATCTCCACATTTCAAGAAATAAACAAACAAGGACCTTAATGTCCAACCAGCTAACTCGTGTCTCAGCATCGTTGCTGATGCTATGACACCAAACATTCAGTACCAGGTGAAGATAAAGTCACTGGACTGACCTTTGTGGTAATGGATAAAGAATAAAATGTTAAGCCACTTAAGGAAAACCAACCAAGAGAGTGAGATTACTGAACCATTATCCACTCAAACTAGAGATATTTTAGTATCTCTATCAAGAAGATTAAAAGTCGAGGCAAGATTTCATGCTTTCGATATTTGGAACAAAAATGCGCTTTTGCATTTAAAACTGCCTGGGTACAATGACAGTGCAGTTATTTGTGGTCAAAGTGGATTGTGGGTAGAGTAACCGGTGGGAATGCTTCTCAAGTGCGCACACAGGACAAAAACCTCCAGGCATTAGCAGTCGAGGTCTCAATTGGCTTTTCAGCTACACTGTGGTTTATTGTACTCTTCACACCAGCTCTCAGAAGACACTACATACCATTATGTTTCTTGGAAAATCATTATGGCGCAATTAAAAGCAATGTTGTTTCACAGACGAACATGGGCTTCTACGCTGTGTCTCACGGCTGGGCACTTCCTTGAGCCTCTTGTGACTACGTGCCCTTGTGATGGTCAAGAGACCCAGCTGTCGAGAAAACACTCAACAGATGGCAGTGGCAGCGGATGTATCACCCTTCCTGGGAGCCTCTCTGACATCCGAGCTGTGGACCTCCATCAGCGCTGGTGTGCAAATGACTCCTTTCAAGTCACAGTGGTCTGGAATGTTCAGTGACAAAATTAATCTCCCTCCAGAAATGAAGGAAATTGAATTGCCCTTATGAAATGAAGTGCATACTATAATACTTAAATATATCGTCCCTTTGAAAACTTTTAAATTCTTATAGATAAGAATGACAGACGGGGAGAAAGTTGACACATCACTAAGTGGACCCTTTTTTCTTTAGGATGAGAGCAAAGCTATACTGGTCCCTTCTCATTGTGTGAAGCTCTGTAAAGATTGGTTTTATATTTCTTTCTTTCTTCTCCTTTCTTTTTTTTTTTTTTAAAGAGCGATTTAACCTTGGCCTTAGTAATGACATGACTTGTTGAATGACGTGGTCTGTAATGAAATTAGCCTAAGTGGTTTGAGAATTAATTAAGTGGTTTCGTTTTACATTGTAGCTGGCATTTTAACACAAAACACTTAAGCCTCCCTCTTTATTATCGTTTCTCCTATGTGTGTGTGTGTGTATAACATTACTGGAAGAAGACATCTATGGCTGAGGATTCTCAACAATGTGCCGGACCACGCTGGGACTGAGCCCCATTACTCAGTATTCAGAATGGGAGTTGCAGATGATTTCTGACTCATGTTCCTTCCTGTCAGTCACACAAAAGACTCAGGTGTTGGAGCCTCAAGTCTGTCTAGAGAACATTCCGGTCTGTCTGGGTATGTAATTCCGTGACAGGACAGTCTTGAATAATAGGTATGGGCCTTCCTCTGTGTCCTGCAAAAACCGTCCTAGGTGCTCCTGCCTGCTACCTCAACCCCCTTTCCGATATTTCCAAATGGTGTTGATTTTCCTTACTTGGGCCCAAATATAAATGTGCGCTGTTAAATCTTCAAAGTCAGTTATGTAGGGATCACTATGTCCTTTAGCATTAAGTTTGATTTTGTCAAAATTGTCTTTCCTTTCTGATGTCATCAATATTGTGTCCTAACATTTACATTTATTCTAAAACTCTGACATTTATATTGTCTAGTCATGTCCGAGAAGAAGAGACCACCTGCTGTATGTGCTTTCTGTTAATGTAATCACACTTCGGTCTTACTAGTTCCTCTCTGGATAAGCTGTAAGATGATCTCTCTCTCTTGCTCTCTCTCTCTCTCTCTCTCTCTCTCTCTCTCTCTCTTTCTCTCTCTCTCTCAACAAACAAGGAATCAGGAATCAGCAGGAACACAGCCTGGCGTAAATGACATCATATTCATTTTAACTATATTATATGTGTTCGAGACAAAAGGATTTCACTTATTCTAAGAGTTCAGGGACTGTCAGGTATTGTACTAAGTCCTCTACACACATCATTAGATTTTTATTTTCACACATGTGTGAGATGGGTGAACATCCACCAGGGCAGCCCACTGAAAATGGTGTCAAAACTGATCAGACACCTGAGCCTAGGCCATCTTCTAGACTCCTTCATTTCTTCAGAGAAATATAAGTATTTCTTGTCTAAACAATATACTATTTTTTTTTCCAAGACAGGGTTTCTTTGTGTAGCTCTGCCTGTCCTGGAGCTGGCTATATAGACCAGGTTGGCCTCAAACTCAGAGATCTACCTGCCTCTGACTTCCAAATGCTGGGATTAAAGGTGTACACCAACACCACTATTTATCTTTATATGTATATGTTTGCAGAGTACTATCATATTATTAATAGGTATATGGGCTAATTAAAAAACAATGAAAAATGTTTTTGTTTATATAATGAAAGGACTTTATATGTTAAAATATTACAATTTTTATAAAAACCTAATAGACAATAGATACATTTTTTTAAATATGGAATACCTTGCCAATTTACATTTCAGCCTTGCACAGGGGCCATAACAATCTTCCTTGTATTGTTTCAGTTTTAGCATATGTGCTGATGAAGTGAGCACATGCATGTTCTTTTGAAGGGTTCAGAAATATTTGTAATAAGTAGATTAGTGTTTGAAAATTTCTTTTTGAAAATTTCATTGTAATATAAATAATTTTATGATTTCTTTGCATGGAAATTAAATGAAAATTAATCTTCTCATTTACTGAATGAAATACTCTATAATAACACTATCGAGGAGAATTTTAGATCCTTCTTCAACAGCCTACAATTGGTGATACATTCCAGGCCGAGATTGTATACGAATGACATGAAAGGGCTTGTTTTCAAAGGTAATTAATAGATCAGGATCTATACAATTCGGGGATTGAAGAGAGGGGCCTAGTTAAACTCCCCACATTCCTGTGTGTGTGCTGGAAATCAAATCGAGGTCCTCATACAGGAGTCTTTCAACAGATCTGTGACATTAGGGGGACATAATTTAAACAGGTGTGTGTGTGTATGTATGTGTGTTTTCTTTTCCTGAAGAATAAACACATGATGGGGGGCGGAATGAAGCCCAGAAAGGATTAGGCATCCTGAAGTATTTTATGCCCACGTTAAGTGCAATGCTGTGCCTTCGAGCTCCACTCCAGTGGAGCATTTGATCACAATCATTTACACACCAACTGCAAACCCAAAAGTTGCTCTTTGAGGTTTCTGTGTGTGGTTGTCATGCTCTGATATCTGCATGTAAAGACCATGTTCTTTGCACCGAGGAAGACAGCGGTGGTGTTTTCATCTGGAACATCTACCTCTTTGCTTTTACCCAGCTGATATTTAATGATTTACCACTTAATGTACTTCATCTTCCATAGCCCCGAGTTCAAACAGAGGCAGCTGCCATTAGGCCTGCAATAATATTGAACTTCCCACCAACGACCTATGAGAGTGTCTTTCTCAGCTTTAGCTACCGAACCCATCTGGCCTTTCCCCTGTGCCTGACAACAGAGGGAGAGGAGCTGCCCACTTCCTATCAGTGCAATCTGGGAAAGAATGTATAATTATGCCAGCAAAAGATCTTCAAATCAAAATTCCTCATGTTAGCAGCGATCTGCAGCTCAGGAGGACAAAACAATGCTCGTTAGCTCATTATCAAAAGAACGGGGAGAAAGATCAGGAATCATGGAAAACTCCTGCTGAGCTGAAATCAATCCAAAGGGTAGAGGTGTCCCTGGCAGCGAATCTGCCAGAGAACCTCATTTTCTTATAACTTCTATGTGCTCCCTTTAGTGTGGAAGGATGGGTATATGAGGAGCCTCCTTTCTCATAGTTTTAGAAGATATTTAGACAGACACAGAACTAGAGAGATGCAGAAATCATCTATAAAAACAGACTTTCAAAAGCCTAAAGCAGGACTGGTATGTGGCTTAGTTGGTAGGATGCTTTCCTCGCATGAAGAAAGTCCTGGGTTCAGTCCCCAGCACTGTATAAATCAAGGTCTGTGGTGCATGCCTCTAATCCCAGCACTCAAGAAGCAGAGACAGGTGAATCAAATGTTTAAGGTCATCCTTGGCTACACAGCCATTTCTAAGTCAACCTGTGCCACATTAGACTTGGGCTTAAAAAACATCACCATCCTCACACCACACACACACACACACACACACACACACACACACACACCATAGAAACACACGTCAAACCTAACGTATAAGATAGGCAAAGAGATTAGATACTTTTGGAAGGAGAAACATAGCATTTATGTTAACAAATAAAATGCATGATCTACATCTAAATTTAAGGCTTTTAGAATTATTGTCAAGTTCTTAAAAAACTGAGTACAGGCTATGCCGCTTTCCTCATAATTTTTTTTGTTAACATTGTAGCATCTGTAAATTAGGATTTACAAGAATATGAAAATGATTATAAATCCTCACTGTAATTATACCCTTGTCAGACAACAACTGTTATCTAGTTAAGATGGTATCTAATCCCTTGGCTGCATACAGTGGACCAAATGCAGTTTTCTTTTCTAACAGAATCCTTAAAGACAGAGGGGACAGCGGGACCAAATGTTTTTACTGTGGACAACACACTTGAAGGTGTCGAGTCTAATGGGATTAGACTTCTATCTTTGCAGCGTCTTTCATTCTTAAAACTAGGATCAGACTTTTTCTCCAATGCTTTTTAAAATTGATTATTATATTTTAAGGGTTAACTTTTTAACCAAAAGGGTTGTATTTACTTTTGTGCATATTGGAAAATACTGAGTTGACGGTACTATTTTATTTATCAATGTTTGGAATTGGGGTTTGAACACAGGGCCCCATGCGGCTGTCTCTTGGAAGGACAACTCCAGTGCTCTCTGTATGTTTATTTTGAATTCTCAGGAAGCTGTCCAGTCTAGCCTCCACCTCACCGTAAGAGGCCTTGAATTTGTGACCCTTTGGCCTCCAATCAGCTGGAAAGAAACTGATATATTTCATAAGTTTGATGATGTTTAGTAGTTTGGACTCACCATTTGGCAAAAATGTAGATACTTTCTACAATGTTGATAATAATTCCATTATGACATATGAAAAGCCTTCTCCATGAGATGACTGGATGACGTAAGTGTGTGCATAGGGGACTTTGCTCATACACCTGTATTCTCAGTACACAGGGGATGGAGACCGGAGGACAGGAAGTTGAAGGTCATCCTTGCACACGTAGTGAGTATTAGGACAGCTGGGGCTACATGAGACCCAGGTGAAACCAGAGAGTGTAATGTGCTCCAGCTTGGCACTGTACTGTGTCTAGGCAATTGATAGGCAGCTGTTCAGGCCATTTATGGCATTTCGTTTTCCTTCCTGGCTGGCCACAGGGCTAGGGCTTATGGACTTGGACTCTCAGCTTTGTCTCTACTTGGGAAGAAGCCTTCTAGGTGTTTGCTTATTTATAGCCTCTAGGATGTTTTCCTGTGGACAGATGTATGTGTTGGGATGGAGATCTGAGATCAGATGATCATAATTCCATTAAAGAACCCATAATCAAAGCATGTATTCCATTTTAACATGCATCTGTCTGTGCGAGCTGCTGCAAATCGAAGATCAAGTGCTCATGCATCAAGCTCAACAAGTTAGAAAATTTGATTTGGAAATCTTCCCCAAGCTCCTTCTTTAAGTCTGAATACTGACAGGTATTTTATATGATTTTTTTGTTCCCCTGTTTGCTCAGTTCCAAGATTTATAGGAGCTCTAATTTGAAGCATGGCAGAAATGTCACTGTGCAGACAGCAGGGGTTTCCCCAACAAAATTTTATTATAATTGTTTCCAGGCCCAAGGGCAAATTATTATGGGGAAATATATATATTTAAAAATAATGCTTGCATTCTTTTTCCTTTTAAAACTTTGAAAGTAAATTCTGTTGCCTTGTTTTTTTTTTCCCCCAAGAAAGCAGATGTCCTGGTTTGTTTTCTTCTGAGCAGCCTTAGCACATGTATTTGGTAGTTATGAGAGGCCAATTTTACACAAACAGCCAAGAACAAATTCAGTCTCTCCTTAGCTACACTATTGGCTGGACGTGAGAGAACACTCAAAGAAAGAGAACATTTCACAATTCACTGTTACTGTGAGCTCCTATAGGAGCCTCGTACGGAATGTATCTGTCATATGGTAACAAATGAAATCCAAAGAGAAATGACTTGTCTTGCAAAGAGATCCGAGTCTGATGGGAAGTGGTACTTGGGCGTTGATGGCAACTGTAATTGTCCATTGTGGGTGGAGAACTTCTGGCTTTTTAAATAACTTATCACAGTATCGCAGTATTCAAGGTAGAAAAGATTAACAAAAACGTATCAAGTCTCTTTAAAGAAATGACCTGCAACATTGGGGACAAGAAAATTGTGGGTAAATTACCAAGGAACACTCTTATGGGGAATAGTGAGTCTAATAAAACTTAAGCCAAGGCCCACTTTTTTTTTTCACCATAAGTACACAGACAGTGTAAGGCAGAAAGCTGTGACGTCTCTCCTGTCTCTCGTCTGCTTGTGGCTATTTGTGGCTAACAGCATGTGCAATAAAAGACTGGTTAACAAGAGAAAGGCTTACTTTCTCCTTCCTTTCCTTTCCTTTCCTTTTCTCCTCTTCTCCCTTACTTCGTTCTTCCTTCTCTCCTTTTCTTTCTTCCTCCCTGCCCCTCTCTGTCTTCCCTTTCCACCCTCTCCCCACCTTTTTTGGTGATAGTCTTGCTGTTGCTCTGGTAGACTTTATATGTGCTGCATAGCCTAATCTGGTCTCGCATTCTCAGAGCCCTTCACAGGTCCAGACACAAAAACGTATTTCATAGGTTTCATGGGACACAGAAACCTTCAGAACTGGGGAATAAATGACACGGAGGCGGCTGTATTTTATGCTTGAGTTTAAGGAAGAAAGGTGCCTCATACAGGACTATGATTACCCAAATGCTCTGTTATCTAATGCAATAGGCTGAAAGGGAAGTCTTGCAAGGCCTGTTTTTCTGGATTCTTGGGCACTGTGTCGTTCTGAAATCAAAGCCTAATGTGACTTGCCATAAAAGGGTTGGGGTGGGGAGGTGTTAGAGGAATATCTCTAAGGTGTTTTTGGCTTCCAGTTGCTATGACACCCCTTGGGGAAGAGGAACGCTGATGAAGTCAGAGAGAGAGAGAGAGAGAGAGAGAGAGAGAGAGAGAGAGAGACTGCTTCTTCTGTGAGGCTTCCAAAGGCTCAGTGGATGGGTCTTCCTAAGCCAAGTCACAACCCTTCTTAGGTATCTTTTCTCTAGCCCTCAAAGCATGATGCTATCAAAGCCGAAAGTCTTGTATATTATTTCTTGTGTAAGAGGAATAATCCAGTTACCAAGAAGCAGACACCGTTGATGAGGAAGGAAAAACGGTTTCACTTGAGAGGTTACAGAGAAACTCATAGGAATCCAATGGTATACTGGCAGCAAACAAGTATCCATGGGAACTTTTGAATATTATTTTATAAACTAATAGTCAAATTAATGAGTCTGTGAATTATCATCATAATGATTTGCTAATTTAGAAGAGGGTGGTCTTGAACGCCTAGTTATCCTTT